AAGCCAAGGGACTAGAAAGTGTTTTTAGGTTTATTTTTTTAGTCTAGGCAACTAGACTTAAAACCACAAAATTTGACCTGAGACCTCGAGATGCCCAAATGATCCCAGACGTTGCTGCAATAACTATGATACCTGGAAAGATGAGAAGTTTTTTTGTTTTTGCCTTTCCTAGAACTTTGGCAAGTTGACGCCCAAGCAGASAGACGACAGGAACACCAAAACAGACGTTTGGGGCAAGTTGCCGTCCCAGATGGGAAAAAATTAATCACCAAAGGGCTCCATGAATGTATTGAACTTGGAAAAAAACACTCCCCGAACTCACTCCTGGTCCCCTCAAGACAGCAGCCCCACTCGTGTGACTCATGTGGAAAGAGACTTCAGCAAAGCGTGGAGTTCAGTCCCAGTGCGTACCTTGCACGGAGGAGGTTTGAGTGCGATGGTCAAGGGAACTTGTTTCTCTACTCCAAGCTGGAGACTCCGCACCCTGCGGAGAGTCCGTGGGCTTGCACCCAGTGTCGAAAAGCCTTAAACCGGGACGCAGCCCTGGGTGCAGATCAGGGAACCCGTGGCGAGAAGCCCCATGAATGCACCAGGTGCGGGAAAGCCTTCTCCCGCAGGGCGCAGCTCATCGTCCATCACCGGGTGCACCGAGGGGAGAGATCCCACGGGGACAGTAGCTCAGGGAGTGGTGTCAAGGAGGAGGCTGTCTTTTGCAAGGGGGGACAGCACACCAAAGAGAAACCGAGAGGAGATCGCCGTCGTCGTGGCCCAAGGGTGTCCCGGAAAGGAGGTCTCTTTGCGCCCCATACGTTGCATGCTGAGGAGAGGCCATACAAATGCTCGGATTGTGAGAAAACCTTCTCGCACAAGTCCCGCCTGGTGGAGCACCACCGCTCCCACACCGGGGAGAAGCCCTACGGCTGCAGCGAGTGCGGCAAGACCTTCTCCCGCAAGTCCTGCCTCATCATCCACCACCGCATCCACACCGGGGAGAAGCCCTACGGCTGCGGCGAGTGCGGCAAGGCCTTCTTCCAGAAGTCGCACCTCATCCTGCATCTGAGGACACACACCGGGGAGAAGCCCTACAGCTGCAGCGACTGCGGCAAGGCCTTCTCGCAGAACTCCTGCCTCATCATCCACAAGCGCACGCACCTGGGCAAGAAGCCCTACCAGTGCCCGGAGTGCGGCAAGAGCTTCTCCCAGAAGGCCAACCTCCTCCGCCACCACAGGATCCACACCAGGGAGAAACTGCACGGGTGACAGGGTGACACGAGAGCTGTGTGGGTGTGGAGCAGCTTTGGAGCTGCAGAGACCCAGGCAATCCAGGTCTGGGGCTCTGCTGAGTCAGGAGGGGCACAGAGGAAGGGCCAAGAGGCCTTAGAGTGATATATATATATATTATAGGATAATCATAATGATAAAGGATATCTATGTTAACTATGGCTATTAAGCATTATAATATAAAAACAAGTTAAATCACTAAAACAGCAAATCTCAAAAAAGTGTCCGAACAATTCTAGAGCTTCATGGGGTTTATGTGCCTGAGTGTGCTACCTACAGAGTATTTATTTTTGAGTTGCATTGCTAGAAACAATTTTGAATTTATAGACACATAATAGAAAGAGTATATATCCAAGACTTACTATATTAAGCTACACCATCTGTCTTTGTAATATGTATTATAACTGACATATGAATTTATTCACCAGAAGTAACCACCTACCATTTGTCCTGTTGTTCGAAGTATGATAGAACTCCTGAATCTGGAAGCTAACAATTTCAGGACATTTTCTGATTTCTCTCAACCAACTAGTCAAAAGTTATAAATTAAATGTGAAAGGTTAGGGCTTCTTTTCTGGCATTTTTTGGACTGCCTAACATAAAAMCCCTTCCACTGTAGACACCTAGAAATGATGGACAATATAAAATTAATATTCTCTTAAATGCATAATCCAGCTCTCAAGAAACTAAGTTTTCCAGATGTCAGCTATGTGGAAGGATCTGAAAACCAGAAATAAAGTTTGTGAGTTGATACCGTAGCTACACTGTGGGTCTGGTTTTTGTATGTCCAGAACCTTGTATGTCAAAGTCTATAGGAAGATGAGGCTTGCGGGCGGGGGTACACAGGGCAGAGTCTGCATGGAGATAATTCAAACGCAGAACTTTCAGAAGTCTGAACAACTGGAAAAGGTAGGACCCAGAATTCTTGTTGAGCCATGAACACCAAACTGCATCTCATCTGAGCTAGTTCTGAATTTGCTCTGTTCATGTCCTAGTTGAAACAGAACAATTAACATGAAAATTGGCTGTGGTCTTTGAAGGAGCCTACAGAAGAAGGCATCCTTGACTCCAGATTCCAAGCTGTGGTCTTGTGCACGGGCAGTAAGTACAGGGTGTCTCTGTACTTTCCTCTCAGTTGTGCTGCGAACCTAAAACTGCTTTAAAAATAAACTCTTTTTTAAAAAATTTTTTTTTTCAGTTTTTGGCGGACACATCATCTTTGTTTGTAAGTGGTGCTGAGGATTGAACCCGGGCCGCTCGCATGCCAGGCGAGCGCTTGAGCCACATCCCCAGCCCTAAAAATAAATCTTAAAAGAAAAAAAAATGTAACTATCCCAATATCCCTTGGGAGAGATTGTTTCCCTTGAGCTGTGGGACTTGGGGAAGGACCCTGGGGCTGTGGGACAGGAATTCCACGGGGGTCAGGTCCCAGGGAGGCATAAGGCAAAGCTGGGGATGGTAGGGACAGACCCTCTTCCCCAGACTTCTGAAGTCATTGAGGTTAAAGCTCCCTCTTGCTAGCTGATACCAGTTTTCCCTGTCAATTTGCAGATGTACTTTCTTCAGCCAGTGGGTAGGAGGTGCAATTGACCTAAGCCCCTTTTGCTTCTAAGTTTTCTGATTCCAAGTGGGCCCTTGGGGGATAATTAGGTTAAAGGTAGTCCTTAGTAATATCTTAAGGAAAAGGAATCTGGCATCTTGGTCTTGGTGGTGCAATCAGGACTATCAGGTTTTCCGAATGTAATTATTTATACCAAGTTCCAAACCTGTTACTTTCAAAGCTCTTTGGCTTTGGTACATGGGGTCCTCACWCCAACACTAACAATCCTAGAAAAAGACTCCAGAGAAGGTGTAAGCTAGGTTCTCTTGACCTTGGTAGGATTTAGGAGCTTAATATATGAAACCCCCAAACCACACAGATTTGCTATGGTTTATTCCTCTTTCAAGTGTTAAGAACCACCAAGTTCAGGGATCTTACAACCTAAGAATAGAGCCTGAAAAATCTGACCTTAAAGATCTCAGTCTAATTGTGGGTGGTCAGGCAGGTGGGAACTGAGGTAGATGCTAAAATTAATTTTAAAGCAACAATAATAATAACCGAGAGGAAGAAAGGAAAGGTACCCAGACCTTCACAGGAAAAATGGTACTTGGGTTGATTCTTGCATTATACAGAGATTTTCACAGGAGAAAAGAGTACATATGCCAGGGACATAAGACAGCAGAACARAGGCATGAAAATGTGTGGAGGCTGGCCTCRTCTTGTAAATAACTGGAATCAGCTGAAGTTTATTTTGTACACTAAGGTATCCAGATCTCCAGTATCTTGATAGAAGTTTGCACACGGACACACCCGTAAGATTAGCACCCCACAAAAGCTACAGAACATTTTCAGTGCCAGGCAGTCTTTCCCCCACCCCTGCCAACCCAAGTCACCACTCTGGGACACTGAACACCAGACACCATGGATTAGTTTGTCATTGCCCTTTGGATGGAACCACATGGTATGTACTCTTTTTTTATATATACACTTATTTATTTACTTTTATATGATGCTGAGGATCAAATGCAGTGTCTCACATGTGCTAGGCGAGTGCTCTACCATGGAGCCACACCCCCAGCCCTGTACTCTTTTTTTTAACCTTTATCTTATTAGGGTTTTTAAAAAATATTTATTTTTTGTATGCATTACATTTATTGTTTATTTACTTTTATGTGGTGCTGAGGATTGATTCCATGGCCTCGCACGTGCTAGGCAAGTGCTCTACTGCCAAGCCACAACCCCAGTCCCCTGTCTTGCTTCTTAAATGTCATATTGTAGCTGTTTTTGTTTTGCCGGTAGCAGTTCATTTTTTTTTTTCATTATTGCATAGTATTCAGTTGCTTGAATATGCCACAAGTAGTTTATAACTAGTGAACATTTCTAGTTTTTTAAATATTTATTTATTTTTTTAGTTGTAGTTGGACACAACACCTTTATTTATTTATTTTTATGTGGTGCTGAGGATTGAACTCAGGGCCTCGCATGTGCTAGACGAGCGCTCTACCACTGAGCCACAACCCCAGCCCTCTAGTTTTTTCTTCTATTATCAAGAATGTGTCTGTAAACTTCATATATATATCAGTACCTGTTTCTCTTCCAAAGATACTGTGTAGCCAGAGTTTCCAGCAGTTGTTTTCAACCAGGAGTGACTTTGCCCCTCAGGGACCTTTGATAGTGTCCAATGACTTTTTTGGGGGAGGGGGCATACCAGGGATTGAACTCAGGGGCACTCRACCACTGAGCCACATCCCCAGCCCTACTTTGTATTTTATTTAGAGACAGGGTCTCACTGAGTTGCTTAGTGCTTTGCTTTTGCTGAGCCTGTCTTTGAACTCTCAATCCTCCTGCCTCAGTCTCCCGAGCCGTTGGGATTACAGCCGATGCACCCGGCTCTAATGACATTTTTGATTATCACATCTGAAGAGGAGGAGGAAGCTCCTGGCATTTAATGGGTAGAGACCAGGGTGCTGCTGCGCATCTTGCACTGTCAGGAGATCTCTCCACAACGAGGAATTCACCAGCTCTCAAACTGTCAACTAGGGTGGAGTTTCAGAGGTCTTTAGGTGCTAGACTCAGGTTCATGTCCAGTAGGCATTGGGGAGCCATAGATGGCTCTGGAAGGGAGAGATTTCCATCAGGGGGGACACATTTCAGGACCGACACCACCTGGCCTTCAGCTTTAGGTGAACTCAGCTTGGTGGGTCATCCCTGGGGTCCTCTGACTGACCACCCGCTGCAGGGCACCTTGCATGTCCCGGTTGCGCAGCGTGTAGATGGCCGGATACAGCAGTGGGGTGAGGTTGATGTAGATGAGTGAGACCAGCTTGTCCTCCTCCAGGGACCGGCTGCTCAGGGGTCGGGCGTACATGGCCGTGGCACAGCCGTAGTGGAGCACAGCCACCGTGAGGTGGGACGCTACGGTGTTGAAGGCCTTGCGGCGGCCTGCGGCTCCCCCAACCCCCAGGATGACCACCAGCACTCTGGTATAGGACAGCAAGATCAGGACCAGGGGCAGCACGAGCAGCAGCAGGCAGGCCACCAGCAGCACATGCTCTTGCAGGTCCCGGTTCCCACAGGCCAGCACCAGCACCGCGGGGAGGTCACAGAAGACATGGTTGACCAGGCCGCCATGGCAGAAGGGCAGCTGGAATATGGCTGTGGTAAGGCCTAGGGCGAGGACTGAGCCACCGACACAGCAGGAGGCCAGGAGACCCCAGCAGAGCCCTGTGGTCATGAGCTGAGGGTAGTAGAGAGGGCGGCAGATGGCCAAGTAGCGGTCCAGGGCCATGGCTGCCAGCAGCAGGCACTCAGAACCTCCCAGGGCCACAAAAAGGCCCATCTGGGCAGCACAGGTGGAGGGGGCCACAGCCTGGCCCCCGGGTGGCAGGAGGAAGCCAGCCAGCATGCGCGGGGTCAGCACCAGTGTGTAGGCCACTTCCACAGCGGACAGCGCACCCAGAAAGAAGTACATAGGTGTGTGCAGGGCGGGCTCCACCAGGGCCAGGACCAGGATGAGCAGGTTCCCTGCCAGGGTGGCCAGGTAGAGCGGCAGCAGGAGAGCAAAGAGCAGCACCCGAAGGCCCTGGGGCCACCCGGAGAAGCCCAGGATTACAAACTCCTGCGGGGCAGTCCAGCTGGACTCAGGCCAGTGGCTTGTGTTGGGGCCTAGGGGAGGACAGGCATGCAGGCCAGTGTCACAGTGTCACAGTGATGCCTGCCTCCCAGGAAATAGGTGACACTTGCCTCTCCTGGGCCCCAGAACCCCATGCCTGCCCTCTGAGATCTGTCTCTTGCTCTCTGTACCCCTCTCCATCCTCCCCAGAACTTGAGCTCCTTCCCATTCCTCTTAAGTCCTCCAGGAATTCAGATATCCACCCTTCCTGCTGTCCTCCTGGGCCCACTTTGCCTCCCGGCTTCCTGGGACCTTCTTCAGACCTATCTTCCTACCCTCCTAGCTCTCCCCAGCCTTCAAAAGCCTACCTAAGGACTCAGGCATCCTCTTTCTATAGCATTGAGGATGAGGGGATGGTACCCAGGGTGGGGAAATGGCTGAGGAGTTCAGGCTTCTCTTACACAGCCTCCATGTTGAGTGGGTATGCGGGGAGTGACTGAGCGGGCGGTCCTGTAGATAAAATCCATGAAGGCTAAGGGGCTTGAGCAGAGCTAGAAAGTCTGTCACAAAGACCCATCTCAGTCTCTGTACACCTGCAGCTCCTCGTGGGGTGTCGCCTCCCAGATGGACCACGTGATCCTCCTCCTCATCTGCTCTGAGTTGGTTGGTTCTATTTATGCCATTTCATCTCTTTAGCAGGATTCAGGACAAGCCCGTGGGAATCCTGGGCCTATTATTTCTAACTACAGGTGGAAAAAACTGCAAAGGAAGATGGTCTACACTCTCCTTGGTGAACTGGCCACCTTAAGATGAACAGGAATCTTCATGAATAATGGCATCTGGCCCCATGGCTTCAGCCACGTGATTCCTAAATCTGTCTCAAGACTCAGTCTCTCCTCCTAGCTGCAGATCCTTATAGTCGATAGTCTCCCAAGCATTTCCACCAACGTTTCCAATTGCATCCGTCCCAAACTCAATTCCTGATCTCCAACCCAAACCTCCCTTCCTTCTGAAAATAGAGCTGGCCCAGCACCAAGATCAGAAATCAGGAAGCCATACTGGATTCCTTCTCTCACCCTCCAGTACAACCAGATGCCATGTCCTGCCACACATTCCTCACACCCCAGCTGTCCTTCTCTCTCCTGATCGATCCCATCCAATCTAATGGGTCCGTCCATCTTCAATCAGCCTCCTTTCCCATACCACCAACTATAGTGACCTTTTCTCAGGAACAGATATTAGTTTTTTTGTTTCTTTATTTTTGGTACTGGGGATTGAACTCAGGGGCACTCGATCATTAAGCCACATCCCCAGCCCTATTTTGTCTTTTATTTAAAGACAGGGTCTCACTAAATTGCTTACTGCCTCGCTTTTGCTGAGGCTGGCTTTGAACTCGTGATCCTCCTGTCTCAGCCTCCCTAGCTAGCTGCTGGGATGACAGGCATGCACCCCTGCCCCTGGCCAGATATCATTTCTTTAACTATCCCCACTTTACTATCATGATTAATCCATGCTCCTTAGCACAGCATCTTTGGTCCTTCGCAATGTCCCTTCCAGCTTCATCTTACGTCATTCAGCACCATGACTTTAGCTGGAGTGGGAGACTCACTTCCTGTATGCACTGTATCTTTGTATGGGCTGTTTTCACTTCTGGGAATGCCCCAAAGTCCCCACATTATCTACCTGGGAAACTTCTATTCATTCTCCACAGCTGCACTCAGATGTCATGTCCTGGGTGAAGATTCCTGGCCTCCAGGTGGGCGTGGTGTCAACCTCTGATTCCACAGTTGTCATGGAAACGCCTCTAAACTCAGTTTCCTAGAATCAAGATTTGATTTATTTGCTGAATTACTCCAAGAAAAAAAATTACTCCATTCTCATTTCTCCACAATTTGTGCCTCCTCTCAGTTCTCCTAGTTACTGTCCCTGACTTGAGTTTTTGGCTCTGGAATCTCAGAGAGCCACTAGCCTCGCCCTTTACCTCTACCAGTTGCTCCAAATTCTTCTGGACCCTCAGCTAAAATGCATTGACTGTCAATATTACCATCAACCTCAGATGGAGGGTGTGCAATCAATCWTCTTCATGGTCAGTACCTCCACAAGCTACAAGAATCATGTCCAGCTCTCCACCCAGCCATCCAAGTTCAAGTGTCAAGTAAGAGACATATTCTCCTCCTCTCCTTTTTCTTCCTATTCCCCAATCCTTTAAAGCAGTCCTCCTTTGAAAGCTAACCCAAGCCCACCAACCCCAAGAAGCCTTGCCTGGTCAGGTCAACCCCTTGTTTCCTTCAAGTCACGTAACCGCCCACCATGGTGGATGTCCATCAACGCTCACGAAACTGCCAGGTCAGCCGGTCTGCTATTGCATCATCACCAGAGCAGTTCATTGATCTTTAACCAGCAGTTTCTCTCTGCCCAGGAGGCTGGTAGTGTACTGGGGGCATTTTTTGTAGAGTTTAGATCAACAGCACCGAGGACCATGAGATCCAGCCCATTTCCTCACCTGTAAAATGAGAGTCCGAGTAGAGGATTACATTTCTTCCAGTTCTCCTATTTTGTGGTACTATCAAAAGCTGAGCTTTTGATTATGCTCTTATTCCCAAAGTAAACCATTTTTTTTWAAAAAAAGAGATTTTAGAACCCTCAAAACATTTAAAATAGAACCACCATATGATCTAACAATTTCACTCTTGGTATATATCTGACAGAAGTGAAATCAATATGTCGAAGAGACATCTGTACTCTCATGTGTTTTTGTAGTGGGGATTGAACCCAGGGGCCCTTTCCCACTGAGCCACATACCTAGCCTTTTTTTTTTTTAAATTTTGACACAGGGTTTTGCTAAGTTGTTTAGGGCCTTGCTAAGTTGCTAAGGCTGGCTTTGAACTTATGATTAATCCTCCTGCCTCAGTCTCCCAAGTGGAGGCAATGACAGGCATGTACCACCAAGACTGATTTTTTTCCATATTTACTGGTACATTATAATTATACACAATGGTAGGATTTGTTGATACATAGTCATAAATGCACATGATATGATTTTTTTTTCTTTTTTGTTTTGTGGTGCTGGAGATTGAATCCAGGGCCTTGTGTATGCAAGGCAAGCACTTTACCAACTGAGCTACATCCCCAGCCCAATACATGATATAATTTGATCAATATCACTGAACTGCCATGTCCATCGAAGCACTATTCACCAGAGCAGAGCAATAGAAACAACTGTAGTGTCCATCAACTAATGAATGGATAAGGAAAACATCATGACTGGGCTGTAGCTCAGTAGTAGAGACATTGCCTAGCACATGGGGCACTGGGTTCAATCCTCAGCACCACATAAAATAAATAAATAAAGATATTGTGTCCATCTACAACTAAAACTATATATATATATATATATATATATATATATATATGAAAAGAAAACATGGTATATATACACAACAGAATATTATTCAGCTGTTAAAAAAAGAATGAAATCCTGTCATTTATGACAACATGGATAGAACTAGAGATCACTATGTTAAGTGAAGTAAGCCAGGCACAGAATCAAATACTGCATGATCTCACTCCTGAGGAATCTAAAATAGTTGATCACATGGAAGCTGAGTGAATGGTGGTTAAAGGCTGGGGAGAGTAAGGGGACACAGGGAGTGGAAAGGTTGATCCACGGGCACTTACAGTTAGATAAGAGGAAGAACTTCCACATGCATTGCACAGTAGGGTGAATGTAGATAGCAATAATGTACAATTATGTACAGTTAAGATGTACATGTTTCAATAAGCCAGAAGAAGGGATTTTGAAATAAAGAAATGAGGAATATGTGGGGAGAGAGATACATTTATCCTCATGTAAACATAATACAATGTATACACCTATCAAAACATCATATGGCACCCCACAAATACAACTTTTAGGTTTTTATGTACCAGTTAAAAATAAATTTAACTTAAAAAGATATTTCGATGTTTCAAGAGCTCATAAAGAAGTTCGAAGACATGGGTTTAATTTAGTAAGGGATATGTTAAGTCAGGCATAACCTGGTCCATATTCTTGACAGATCTTAGAAGGGCCTTAGACCAATTCACATACCAAAAAGGCTCTTTCTAGCACTCCCAGTGTGTTTGTGTGTCTGTTTGCACATCTGTGTTTCCTTGTACAAAGTGCCCTGGGATGTGGTCTGCTTCACCTCGTTCTGAGGGAGCCTCAGGTAACCCTAGTCCTGTCTGGCCTCTATCACGGTGTGTGACGTGGCCCGAGTCACATGTTTCTCTCTGTTTTCCTATTCCTCATCCGTGTCCCCTTCATGAGGGACCCTGGCTCCTTGGCTCCCTGGCCTCCAAGTCCTGGTTTGCCCTCTGCTGAGGACAGGGTCCCATCTTTTGTTTTTCTTGGAGTCGGCACAGCACAGTGGACAGACAGGAGCTCTGGGTCCACAAACATCTGGGTTTTACTCTCAGATCTTTCACTCACCAGCTGCCAGAGCTGAGAGAGAATTTTGAGTTTTTCTCAAACCTCAGCAGCATCCTCAGCTCCACAGGCTTGTCTCCATGATGGCCTTCAATGACATGTAGAAAGCACTGATTAAAAAAAAAAAAAAACCTAAAATATCAAAGTGGGTCTAGTCCCTCCTCTTTGCTTTCTGCTCCTCATGTACCTGTTACATTCTGCCTTAGCCCCCAGTCTCTGGATGGAAGACTTATTGGGAGAGATGAGGTAACTAGTGGGAGACGGGAGGACCTGGATGGCTCGGGGTGGCAGACACTTGCAATACCCCAGCTCACTTTTTCCGGCTGCTTTGAGGCTAAGACTTAGGTTTCTTTAAGTGTCCAGCCCTGGTCCCTGGTCTCTGGTCCCTGCCTGCTCCCTGCAGCTCTTCTTCCTTAGCTCTCTGTTCTCACCCTACACTGTTTTGTTCTTTCTTCTTCTTTGTTTTTTTTTTAAGTTGTAGATGGATACAATGCTTTTATTATTATTATTTTTTTTTACGTGGGGCTGAGGATCAAACCCAGTGCCTCACACATGCTAAGCAAAGTGCTCTACCACTGAGCCACCACCCCAGGCCCTCTCCACCGTCTTCTGCCTCAGTCTAATCGTGCAACAATCTGAATATACCATGGTCACCCAGTTCTCCCTGATCTTGCACCGGATGTTCTTTTCCCACCTGGAAATGGACTCACTCTTCAAGGATCCAATCAAACATCAGCTCCTCAAAAAGGATAAAGCAGGAGAGTCAACCGTAGAAGGCTTTTGTAGAAAATGGGAAGAGACTGACTCAACTACAGCTTTATCCCTTGTCCCCCAGGCTTTCCTGGACCCTGACGGTGCCTCTCAACTCACCCTTCATTGACAGTGTCCCCATGTTCCCTTTAAACACTGACGGGGGTTGAGATATTAGGAAGAAAACAACTACAGCTGCCATTACTGTTACTGGTATTTGATGAGCCCTTACCGTGCACAAGGGATGGTCTGAGCATTCCACATGCACATTATTAAATACATAGTTATATATTCTATAAAGTTGCAAGACAACTGTGTACCAGGCATTTATAGATGAGGAAGCTGAGACTTAGATGGACTTTTAAAAAATTTTTTTAGTTGTAGTTGGACATAATACATTTATTTATTTTTATGTGGTGCTGAGGATCAAAACCCTGTGCCTCAAACTTGCTAGGCGAGTGCTGTACCACGGAGCTACAACCCTACCTCCTTAGGTGGACTTCTTAAAGGGGGGTTCATAGAGCTTCGCCCTGACCTGGGATTTGTCCCCAGGTCTGACTGATTTCAAAGTCTGTGCTCTCCTGTCAGGGGACGTCTGCTCTACCTTCTGCCTTATTTGTCTGTATCTCCCCACCTGCAAAAAGAGAAAATGAAAAGAGAATGAAAGAAAGAGAAAGAAGTACTCAGAAGAGACAAAGAGGTGCACAATCAGGAAGAGGCACCACCAAGGCTGTGTGAAGCAGAGGTGCCCCCACTGACAGGTGGGGACAGGAAAAGGGAGAGGAAAGACACGCATCCTTTGATCAAGATCAAGTGGCTCAGCTGGCTCTGGGCTAGTAAAGCAGGGGTGAAAGGGAGAGGAAGAGAGAGACTGAGAGGGAAAGACTGAGAGGAAGAGATTCAGACCCATCTTGGACTTTGCAGCGTATTTGTATTTGCAAGTATTTGCAGTGACTCCAAAGGGAGGAAGAGTTCAAGTCTGGTTTGAGACGATGACTTGGATTCTGATTAGAAATCCAAGTTCCTACCACCAAAGTCRGACCCCCCCCATAGTTTTCTGGTCTCACCTTCCATTGTATTCTGCTTCAGTCTCCACTTCCAAGCTAACACAACCATCTACCATGACCTCCCATTTCTCCCTGAACCCACCCATACTTCTTCAACCTAAGAATGTCCTTTTCCCACCTGGAAAGGGTCTCATTCTTCAAGGTTCAAATCAAACATCAACTCCTCTCTAAACAAAAGGGTCAAAAGTAGAAGAATCGATCGTAGAAGGCTTTTGTAGAAAATGGGAACAGACAGACTCTACCGCATCTTTATCCCTTGTCTCCCTTAATCTTCCAACTTCTATTCCCAGTAAGGATGGAATACTTCCTCTCAGTAAAAAAAGAAAGAATGAAAGAAAAAAGTTCCTTAATAGGTTTCCCAGGGCCCACTTAAGGGTCTGGCTTGATCGGAAGCCCAAGGGCCTCATTAGTAGTCCCTTCCCAGCACTGTAGCTGCTGAAGGGGTGTGTGATGGTCTCAGAAGGCTGGAGCTTCAGGGACGAGAGAGACAGAGGACTCGGGAAAGCTGAGGCATCCTGGGAGAGTCTGAAACTTCTGGGCCAAGGAGACAGGAAGCCACCTCCCTGCAGTGATAATAAGACTATCTATAGCAAAAGCTGAGATGGACTTGAACCTAGGGGAATGAGGAGCCCCAAACACATTGATAACAGCTCCCTGGAGAAAGGAGAGGAAATTTACTGCTCTGTCTGCATTTTCCTAAATTTTGTAAACTTGAAGAGTGGTCAAGAGACTGAAAAAAATCTCAGAATGGACTAACTGGGTGTCATATCAGCAAGATGGCAGGCTTGGAGGACCCAATCATTTTATCCCTACAAAAACCGAGGTTTAACAACTATCCATGGACTAAAATAACTCCAGAACTCTCCAGTCCAGATAAAAGCTGTGGTGACCTAATATAGTGCAAAACACAAGAGTAATCACATAGAAAAGGATAAGAAGGGCAGTTTTATTTTCACTATGTCACCCCAGTCCCAAGACTGACATAGCGCAGGGCTGAATTCCTTAACCACAGTTCCTTTTGTAGCGGGGGGGGGGGGGAGAGGAGGAAGACCCCAGCAGTCCTCACTGATACCACAAAATTTCAAAGCCTGCTCTGCCATGGACCCACCCCCATGACCTTCACTGACTTGGACTCCAGCTTCTGGAGTCACAGAACCCATGCTACCATGACTACCTGGAGCTAAAGCCACTGTGTCCCCTACACAGGCACCCCTTACACCACTGGACACAGCGCCATCAGGACTCTCCATACACTCAGCCAGCACCTTTGAGTTGACTTGTCAGTGAAAGTCTTTACCTACTGAAGCCAGACCAGAAAGTCTGAATATCATGACTGCTTTTTCAAATGCACAGACACCAGTGCAAAGCTACAAGGAACAAAAAAAAGAAAAAAAATTAAGAAAATATGACATCACTAAAGGAAAATAAATTTCTAGTAATGGATCCCCCCACCCCAAACAGGAAATTTCTGAATTATCTGAGAAGGAATTCTAAATAATTTTAAAGAACCTCAGAGAGTTATACGAGAAAACAGATGGATAACTTAATGTCAGGAAAATAATATGTAAACAAAATGAGAAATTTAACAAAGAGATAGGAATAAAAAAAAAAAAGAATCCAATAGAAATTCTGGGGCTGAAGATTACAATGACTGAAATAGAAAGATGAAGGAGAAAGCTTCAACAGCAGGTTTGATCTAGCAGAAGGATCAGTGAGCACAAAGATGGATCATTTGAAATTTTCCAATTATGGGAGAAAATAGGGAAAAAAAGGAATAAAAAGAAGAAAGTTTACAGAATTTATGGGATACCAGCAAGCAACCTAATAAAACCATTATGTAAATACTAGAAGGAGATGAAAAGTAGGAACATAAAAATAAAAAATTAATGATTAAAAAGATCTTAAAGGGCTGGGATTGTGACTCAGYGGTGGAGCGCTGGCCTAGCACGGGCAGGACCTGGGTTCGATTCTCAGCACCACAAAAAAAATAAAGGCATTGTGTTGTGTCTATCTACAAAATATATATAAAGATAAAGATTCCTCTCTCTCTCTCTCTTTAAAAAAATCTCAAATCTGGGAAATAGGTAGGAATCCATACTMAAGAAGCTCAAAGCACTCTGTAGAGGTTGAACATGAAGTTTTCACGTAAACACATTAATTACAATGTCAAAAGTCAAAGAATTTCGACAGCAGCATTAAAAAAGTAACTCATCCCATATGAAGGAACCCCCTTGAGGATATCAGCAGATTTTTCAGCAGAAAAATTGAAGACCATGAGAGGATGGAATAATATATTCAATGAAAAAATGAATGAAAAAACTGTCAATCAAGAACACTATACATGGAAAAACTATCCTTTAAAAACAAAGAACAGAAAATCTTTCTCAAAGACTCTCTTAAAAATGAGTTTATCACTGGGCTGGGCTTGTGGCTCAGCAGTAGAGCACCTGCCTAGCATGTGTAAGGCCCTGGGTTTGAGCCTCAGCATCATATAAAAATAAATAAATAAAATAAAGGTATTGTGTCCAACTACAACTAAAAAATATAAATATTAAGAAAGAGTTTATCACCACTAGATATGCTTTAGGAAAAAATGCTTAAGGGAATTATTTTTTTTGAACAGAGAAAACTATTTATATTAGTCACTATATGAGGGATACAGCTTGTACCCTTCATCTTAGGGGAATTCTTAAAATTTAAATACAACACATACTTAGTAGCAGGCTGGGGCTGTAGCTCAGGTAGAGCACTTGCCTAGCATTCATGAGACACTGAGTTTGATCCTCAGCACCACATAATAATAATAAACAAATAAAATAAAGGCATGCTGTCCATCTACAACTACAAAAAAATTAAAAAAACAACCATACTTAGTAGCAATGGCATATGGAAGCAAAAATATCACTGGTAAAAATAAATATATAGAAAAATACAATAATGTAACACTGTAATGGTTCTGTGTAAATGACTTTTAACCCTAAAAGTTCAAATAAAAAAATATAAATAACTATACCCACAAAAAATTTTTGTTAATGGGAGATTGGCAGATGGCAGACTAGAGAGTTTCGGCATTCCCCAGCTGCTCCAGGAGACTGAGCAAGATGAACAGGTGTCTGGCTGCATGATGAGATAGGAAGGCCCTAGGAAAGAGATGGAGTACAAGAAAGGTGTGGTGGCCATGCCTGTAATCCCAGAAATGCAGACGTCCAAGGAGGAACAGAGCAGGGAGGAAGAGCAGGAAGAAATGATTAACATTAAACAGAGACATGAGGTGGGAGGGAAAGGGAGAGAAAAGGGAAATTGCATGGAAATGGAGGGAGACCCTCATTGTTATACAAAATTACATATAAGAGGTTGTGAGGGGAATGGGATAATAAACATGGAGGGAAATGAATTACAGTAGATGGGGTAGAGAGAGAAGATGGGAGGGGAGGGGAGGGGGGATAGTAGAGGATAGGAAAGGTAGCAGAATACAACAGTCACTAATATGGCAGTATAAAAATGTGGATGTGTAACCGATGTGATTCTGCAATCTGTATTTGGGGTATAAATGGGAGTTCATAACCCACTTGATTCTAATGTATGAAATATGATATGTCAAGAGCTTTGTAATGTTGTGAACAACCAATAAAAAAATTACAAAATACAAATGCCCGTGTAAAAAAAAAAACCATATATTAATATGAACCTAAAAAAAAAAAAGGATATGGAGGTAGCTCAGCGGTAGAGTTCCCCTGGATTCAATCCCTAGTACTACTACAACAACAAAGAGCTGGAGTGCAACTCAAAAATGTCAGCAACCTTGTGAAACCCAGAAGCATTGGTTTTCAGAATAAAAGTGATGGAACACCCCAGCACTGAGCGGGCAGTGACTCAACAGGGAACGGAAGCACCCCTTCAGCAGGCTGGAGGATAAAAGTCCCAGCATTCTCAGTGCATGCAGATTCCAGAACCAGACAAATTTGCAGTCTGAGCATGTTGGAGACCTGGGATCTGCATAGACAGCTGTGCAGAAGAGGTTCTCTGCACTTCCCATCAGATTCARACAGTGCCAGAATGGGGTGCTATCCTGGGA